TAAATTTTTTTATATGTAAAATAATAGAAACTCCCCCATTATTTACATTTCACAAATATTTCATTATAGTCCAGGTTCCAAAATAGGTTTTAAACAGGTTCCAAAAACAGGTTCCAAACAAGTTCCAAAACAGGTTCCAAACAGGTTCCAAAACAGGTTCCAAACAGGTTCCAAAGCAGGTTCTAAATAGGTTCCAAAACAGGTTCCAAAGCAGGTTCCAAATAGGTTCCAAAACAGGTTCCAAATAGGGTACCCTTTTTACAGGTTCCGGTTCCGGTTCCGATTCCTCCACATGCAAGAACCGGAACCAGAACCGCACAGTAGCGGTTCCAAAAAATTGGAACCGGAACCTACCCGCACAGTGCAGGTTCTGGGTAGGTTCCGGTTCTGATTCTTACCCCCGGTTCCGGTTCTACCCGTTACCCGTGCTCACCCCTAAATTTGTAATTCCTTTAATGGCATTATTTCTACCTTTTCTTAGGATTATTGTATTCTAATTTTAGGCTATTATAATTTCAATATATTAGGATAATGATTTTCAAGAAATGGAAGATAATAGAAGTCTAGAAGAGGAATGCAAACCTGAACCTGGAATGTTTTATGAATCATTTGATAAGTTTTTCCAATACTACAAGAGTTATGGGAATAAAATGGGGTTTGAAGTTGCTATAAGATCTTCAAGAAAAGGAGTTGATGGGGAGTTGATTTACGCAAATGTGGCTTGTTCTTGTGGTGGGAAGCAAGAAAGTAACTCCAGAAATGTTTGTAAAATGGTAATATTGACAAAAAGTGGTTGTAAGGCTCGTTGTACTGCATCTCGACGTTCTGATGGAAAATAGGAAATAGTGTCAATCATCTATGAGCATAACCATGAACTCAGTAGTCCTAGCAAAACTAGATTTTTCAAGAGCAATCGAATTATACAGCCGTATGTGAAAAGGAAGCTTGAAGTGAATGATAGGGCTGGGATTAGACCTAATAAAATTTTTAATTCCTTGTTAGTTGAAGCTGGTGGTGCTGAGAATTTGACTTTCTTACAAAAGGATTGTAGGAATTACATTGAAAAGGTTATGAGGACTCGACTTGGTGCTGGGGATGCTACTGCAATCCAAAATATTTTCTAAAGATGCAAAAGGATAATCCAAATTTCTTCTATGTTATGGATTTAGATGAGGATGGTCGATTGCAGAATGTTATATAGGTGGATGCAAGAAGTAGGGCCGCATTTAGGGAGTTCGGCGATGTTGTCACATTCGACACAACATATTTGACTAACAAGTATGATATGCCGTTTGTTGCATTTGTCGGTGTTGACCATCACGGCCATTCCACATTGTTAGGTTATGGGTTTGTCTTCCATGAGGACACACAAACTTTTGTATGGCTTTTTGAATCTTGGCTTGCATGTATGTGGAATTCTGCTCCTAAGGCTATAATCATTGATCAGGAGAAGGCAATGCAAAATGCAATCGAGATGGTGTTTCCCGGTACACGACATAGATGGTGTTTGTGGCATATAATGAAGAACTTGCCGGAAAAGTTAAGTGGTTATTGTGAATACGAACATATAAAGTTTGCTTTCCAAAATGCCGTGTATGATTCATTAATGCGTGAGGAGTTTGAAGAACGCTGGAATAGGTTCATTGATAAACACGGCCTTCACGAAAATGATTGGTTACTTGGTTTGAATAATGAAAGATATCGGTGGGTGCCAGCATTTCTGAAAGATACTTTCTGGGCAGGTATGTTTACTACTGAACGTAGTGAAAGTATGCATTCATTTTTCGATGGGTATGTAAATTCAAAAACCACATTAAAACAATTTGTGGAACAATATGAGAACGCATTGCATGATAAAGTGGAAAAAGAAAATGAAGCTAATTTCAAGTCATTCAAATCATGGATCCCTTGTATAACCACTTATCCGATGGAGAAACAATTTCAAGATGCATACACTACTGTAAAATTCAAAGAGTTTCAAAAAGAGCTTGTTGCTAAGCTCTATTGTCAGATTCATTCTTTCGAGGAGACTGATTCCAATATCGAATATGTAGTCGAGGAAGATGTATTGGTTGGAGAGAGCTACCGTCATGTTCCTTTTGTAGTTTGCTTTGATGAACTTGTTTCTGAGGTTCGTTGCAGTTGTCAATTGTTTGCGTTTAGAGGGATTATATGTCTACATACAATTGCAGTGTTGATTCATAAAAAAATTTATCTTATACTAGAAAAATAAATTTTAAGGCGGTGGAGGAAAAATGTATACAGATGTCACACCAAAGTTAGGATAAGTTATAATAGTTGGAGCATGACTCTTGAAGGACAATGATTTGATAAGTTGTCTAATTCATTCTGTGAGGTGGCAGATTTGGCATCAAGCAATGACGATGATTGTAATATAGTCATGCAAATGATTAGTGACATGAAGAACAAATTAGTATCGAATGTTGGTGTTGGCGGGACCGATAGCTGCCTAAACATGTCATCTAAAGGTCTCCAGGACCGCAATAGTGTTCACTCTACTTCCGTAGAGGGTAGCAATAACATTCTGACTCCACGAGCTGTTCGTTCGAAAGGTTGACCTCCATTCAAAAGAAAGCAATCAAAGGTCGAGCAGATTGTACGTAAATTTAAAGGGAAGAAATTGCTTAACCAAATGAGTGTCACATCTAATTTTATAACGTTTAAAATATGTTAATAAATGTTATGTAGTTATAAATTTAATTTGATTACAGGCTAGGAGTTCCCAAGAATCAAAAGAATCAACTGAAGCTGGTGCATATGCGAGTAATGTCCAACCATATGAAGCAAGAGTCCCTGTATTAAGTCAGGTATGAATCCTTTAGGTTGAACTATGGTTTAGGCTATAATATTAGTGTTGTTGTCTTTTCACTGCCCAGGGTTATAGTGAACTGTCCGTCACTTACAGGCCATCACCTGTAGATGCAAATTATTGATTGAAGTATGGTCGTGCAATATACAGTTGGTGGTACTTCACTTTACTTATATCACACTCTCTATGTTCTTTCACTTTGCATATGAAGTATGGTTTAGCAATATGCAGTTGGTGTGGTTAGGGGTGGTCACTTTAAGCATGATTTTTTAATTGTTCTTTTACTTTAAGTGGTATTGTTTTTAGCTTTTCTTTTTGGTGTGGTTGGGGCTGGAAAGGGTACAAGCAGGTGGAGGGGTTGAGGGTTGCTATGAGTTGGTGTACAAGCAGGTGAGCTGCTGCTGAAGTTTTTAGTGGCTAGATTGGGTTTTTGCTTGCTGCAACTGCTTGTTTTGTTTGTCTGGTTTTTTTGAAGATTTGGCTTCGTTGAAGTCTTGGATTGGTGGCTTAAAAAAGAAAATTAGTTTCATTAGTTTCTAGTTAATAAAGCCTAGTAGTTTAGTAAAGATTCAAAAGTGCTACTTATTAATTGAGTTAACTTTGTGTATTTCACTCTTCCATTATAGTTGTGTTACATCAATTTTTATACAATAGTTTGTATAAAAAAAAATTATGTGTGGTATTATTCTAAATAAAACAAGGTTCTTGAGTTGTGTCCTAGTGTAACTTAATATTAATATCAGAGTCTTCTCTTCTTATGTTGTGTTTTTACAGGGGGATGTGGTTGATAAGCTAACGGTTCAGATATTCAAGGACCCTCATCATGAAATTGTCATTTTAACACTAGAAATTGTCAAAATTCTCCTTCACAACTTTAGTATCTCTTTGTTAGGAATCTTGCCAGTACCATAAGGTCAGAGTTTGCTTAATATATGATTAACATAATCAGGACAAGACCAATATACCATTGACATCTGATAAATATTTAGTCTATATATGTTGGAGCAAGAGCATAAAACTGCCCATAAAACAACAGCAAAAAATAAACTGGAGAAGTGAATCAGCCATAGCCCCATGCTACAAACCACAGCAACAACATCCAAGCAACAACACAGCAGCAAGAATGGACAGCCAACAACAAAAAAGCAGCAAGAACAGCCCCCTACTGGTAAAAAAAATTGCAGCAGTAGGGGAGAAAATGAGTCTGTAGCAACGCAGAAAGACCTCAATGTAGCCCTCACCTCCTCCCACAAAGCCAACCTCCAAGCCAACCACCCTAGCACCAAAAACACCCCCCAACCGCCAGTCCCTCTCACCAGCCACACAAACCACACACAACCCCAAGAGATGGGTCTGCAGTAGCCACAACATAGGACCCCAAACCAAAAAGTAAACCCACGCACCAGGAGAGAAAAAAAAACTGAAACAATATCCCTTCCTCCAGAAACATCAACAAGTCCGACTGGGTTAAGGGCCAGGTAGAGGCTCTCAAAACCAAAACAACAACAACAACAATGGCCTCAACATTGGCTTCTCTCCTCAAGTCATTTCCCCGTTCTTGACAAGTCTGAGTGGGTTAAGGGCTAGACCATAATCCGTCAGCCCTCTGTCTCTGTTGTTAGATGCCACCCCAACGCCCCTTTTGCTCTTACCATTCGTGCTGGTTCCTATGCTGATGAGCTCGTCAAAACTACGGTGCTGAGTTCAAGTTCCATTCTAGGGTTTCAATTGGATTTTGGGAGAGAAAAATTTTTTAGGAAAAGGAGTTACGTATGACAGTGGTGGAAGATTAATTGTAGGGCAACTTTGAGAGAGATTTCTAATTTAGGGGAAGAAGAGAGTTTGATTCAGATGATTTTGTTTTGGGAGAGAGATTAGATTTAGGGGCAAACGAAATTTTGGGTTTTTAAAAAATTTTTTTTTTTAATAATTTGGGGGGAAATTGCTTGGCTTTTTGATGATATGACAATGCCACATCATCGGCCACGTTATGATGTGAGAGAGTGATGTGAGATGGTGGTTTAAGCCTAAGTATAACTGGATGCTAAATAGCCCCCACCTATTTTCTATTAAGCCCCCATTTTCAATTTTAATTAAGATAAAAATATATAAAAACGAAAGGTGAATGTTTAGCTTGAAACCCAGATAATCCACAAACGGCGCAACTGAAATGTTGCTCAAAAACTTGATTCCTCGTTTTTCTTCTTCTCCTTCTTTGTTCACAAAACCAGGTAAAGTGACTACAGCTATTCCACAATATTTAGCACTTAAAGTAACCCAGCTTGAGAAATTCCTGAAAAATGATTGTAAAGAAGGTAATGTCACTCTTGATGAAGCACGATATTTCTTTGGATACATGATTCATATGCAACCCAAACCACCAATTTCATCATTCCACCGGTTATTTGGAGCACTGGCTAAGAAAAAGTTTTATGAAGACGTTAATTTGCTTTACAAGCGAGTGGATTCAATGGGGTTGTTGCCAGATTTAATTACTTTGACTATTCTGAATCATTGCTTTTGCAATGTGGGTCGAGTTTGTGATGTTTTTGTTGTTTTTGGGAGGATTTTGAGCTGGGATTCTAGCCCTAGTGTTGTGACTTTTAATTCTTTTATTAAAGGTTTGTGTTTGGAGAATAGGAGTATGGAGGCTGAGGAGTTGTTCAAGAAAACGGCTGTGTTTGGGGTTAGGCCTAACGTGATTACATGTGGGACTTTGATTAACGGGTTGTGTAGAACAGGTGATACCAGTATTGCACTTAGGATACACGAAGAGATGGTGGATCAAGGTTTGCAGCCTAATGTGGTGATGTATAATACAGTGATAAGTGGGTTTTGCAAGGAGGGGAAGATGGAAGAAGCTAATGGGTATTTGGAATTAATGATTCAAAGAGGTTTGCAGCCTGATGTGGTGACATATAATACAATGATAAGTGGGATTTGCAAGGAGGGGAAGATGGAGGAAGCTAATGGGTATTTTGAGTTAATGATTCAAAGGGGTTTGCAGCCTAATGTGGTGACATATAATTCACTGATAAGTGGGCTTTGTAAGGAGGGGAAGATGGAGGAAGCTAATGGATTGTTAGAATTAATGATTCAAAGAGGTTTGCAACCAGACATATTTACTTATACAACTTTGATGGATGGTTATTGCTTGCTGCATAGATCTAATGATGCAAAGGAGCTGCTAATCTTTATGGAGAGTAAGGGTTGTAAGCCTGATGGATTTGTTGTTTTTGTGAGGATTTTTAGGCGGGGTTTAAGACCAAATGTTGTGACTTTCACTTTTTTGATTAAAGGTTTTTGTTTAGAGAATTAGAGTTTGGAGGCTATGGAGTTGTTCAAGAAAATGGCTGTGTTTGGGGTCAGGCGTGACGCGCTTACGTATTGGACATTAATTAAGCGGTTGTGTCAGACAGGGAACACTAGCATTGTGCTTAGATTGCATGAAGAAATGGTTGCTGGTAATGGTGAAGGGGTTGTTATCTGCAAGCCTGATATTGTTTCTTATGGTAGTATTATAGATGGTCTTTGCAAAGATGGGTTGGTAGATAAGGCAAAAGAATTGTTTTTGGAAATGAAGGGGAAGACAATTAAGCCAGATGTGGTTGTTTTTAACTCTCTAATTTACGGTTGTTGTTTTGTGGGAAATTTGGAGGAGGCTAAAGGCTTGTTTGTTGAGATGGCAGATCAAGGTTTGCAGCCTAATTTGCTGGCGTATAATACAATGGTAAGTGGGTTTTGCAAAGAGAGGAAGATAGAGGAAGCTAATTGGTTGTTGGAATTGATTATTCAAAGAGGTTTGGAAATTAGAAAATGCTATCAGTCTTTATATGGGAATGATTTCAAAGGGAATTAAACAGACAGTGTTTACGTATAACACTTTGTTAACCAGTTTTTTTCTATCAAACAAAGTTGGAGATGCATGGAAACTATTTGATGAGATGAAACTTTATAATGCCGCACCTGATTCAGTTACAATAATATTTTGAGGTAGCAAATTTTTTTTGTACTTGGAGAACTACTAGTTTAAAATTGCCAGCCTCACTGATGGGTTGTGTAAAATGGAATGATCGAAATTGCTTTGGAGATATTTTACAAGTTGCCTCAAAAAGGCCTAATGCTAGATGTTGTGACATATTCCATCTTCATCCATGGGTTTTGTGAAGAAGGGAAGCTATAAAAAGTATATGATTTGTTATTACAAGCTCCATTTACGCATATTTGACATACATTTTATATTTAATTTCTTAAGTAAATGGTAAACCTAGATCATCTTTTAATATATATGCATCTTCTTTGGTTTAATTTTGTTATCTTCTATTCTTATAATTGGCTTTTCGCTATTTGCATATAACTATTAAGTCTGAACTCTGAACACAGTTGATTGGTCGCATACAACTAAGAAATCTGAATTCACAACCTTCTGATTAGATGTGGAACAAATCTGAATTCACAACCTTCTGATTAGATGTGGAACCTTTCCCCAACCATAGTAATAAGTTAGCTGAAATTGTATGTATTTTTTTTAAGAAAAAAGGCAAATGAACGAATATAGTGTATAATGTAAATGATAGTAATCTGTTTTACTGCTTTCTCTGTTTATGCCATCAACCAAATAATCCGTTCTCTTTGTTGAATTGAGGTAGCAAGATAAATTGTTGTTGATGCATGTGTTGCCTTTGTCTTATGAGAAATTACTCCTTGACAGTTCATCGGATTCTGCTTTCGGGATGGATATAATAAAGAGAATGCTGCAGAATGGGCATCCAACCATGCTCAGCTGCTGAAAGAATTGGGGAGAATAAAGTGGTTTCGGGTCTCTCATATGCACAAATGCAAACACAAAAGTTTGGACTTTTTAACATGGTAGTGAGTGATGGAAGTGAATTAAGTGCTTGTGTAGTGGGAGTCAAATAACTAGAACACGATAATGGTGCCGTGTGTTATTTTAGTTTTGTCAAAGGCTGTCTATTGGTTGTGGCGGTGAGTTATTTAAGTAGCATTTCTGATTTTTGGTGGTGGCAGTGATATTGTTGATGGCTTTAACTGGTGGTAACATTAGAATTGGCGATGCTGGTGGCAGTGAAATTTTAATGCAACATAGATATGTTATCAAAATTACGATGATCAACTCCGAAGAAAAAGGAGAAGAGAAGGTTTTAACTGTCTAGTTACATGTATTATTTTCAACATTCATGATGTTATCTTTGACCTGTTTTTCAATCTCTGTTATCTGACAATTGAATTCAGAAGTTGTTATCTCTGATCTCTTTGTATTAGGATTGTTTATTTTTTTTTGGAAAGCTTGAAAGATTGTTCAACTTACTGTGATCTGAAAGGATGTGCAAAGCAACCAATTCTTGTTGATATCAATGCAATTTTGACTTCAGTTTGTAAACTTAGTGACTTCTACTGCAACTGCTATTTGGATACCTCTATTAGTTCCATGGAAAAAAAAAAAAAAAAAAAATCCTGCAACAACAAAATTCACAGAAAAAATCGGAAGTATTGCTAACTGAATTGCTATATATATGCCATCTCAAGATTAATTGTTTGAACAATCCCCTATTACAGGGCTGACACGGCTCATCTTGTATCGGTCAGAGTTTTGTTTCTTTTTCTTCTTGATTCCTCACTCCACAGTGGAGAAATGTTTTCTTCTAAGTTTGAGATTTGTATTTATTAGGAGGATGAATTTATGAAATTGGTCACCCAACTGTAAGTTTATTTTCTGCACATTGCCCTTTGTGCACCTGCTGCTGGCAGTTTAACAAACATAGCTCTGTTGTAAACTATTTAAGTTGTACAGATTATGTAAAAGCATTACCATTTGCTCCCGTGCTCAATTTCACCGTCGAAGAGAGAAAAAAACTTTCGTCAATGCATGTCGTATTCATTTGTTTCATGATTTAGTTCCTGAATAATTTGGTCCAGTTGGTTATATTTTCGCCTGATACTCAATTGACTTGACCATTACTACTCAGCAATTTAGCCTTTTGATTAAAGAGTAATGTTAGGTTCATAACTCAATTTCATAATTTTTCTTACAATCCTCTTGTGGTTTGCAACTAGACAGCTTGGAAATGGGTTTTATCTGCTTGTTATGAGTCTCGTTTATTAATTTACGAGTTGATATGTCGAGATTATGAGATTGGGTTATCAATCTAACATTACGATTGATTAAATTAGTAAGAATTTTCTTAATTTCCAAGATGATAGAATCACCAAATTAAAGTTATTATCATCACAACAAGGTTTTACAAAATGCCACCAAATCTTCCTACACATCGTCCAATTACTCCTTTATAATGCTGCATATATGCAATCAAATCTCACTTCAGTCTCTCTTTCTCTCTCTTTCTCTCCTCTGCAAGTCAAATCAACTTTGATGATTGAAAATGAAGTTCTTCACGTGTTTCCCTCCACACAAACATCTTTAACTTTACTAGATTTCATATCAGATGGAAAAATAAGTTTGACAAAATGATGCTCATTTTAATAGAAAAAGATTCTCAAAATTCATCCAGATATGACATGAGAATGCAGTTCGACTAGTGTAAGACCTCCATAAAGTTTGAAGACACCTTCAGCAGATGCAAAAATCAACACAAAGTCAACTCATATTTCTCATCTAGTTAGAGTGCAAGTAATATTACCCCCTATGGAACCCGATGCTACTGTATTTCTTGGACGGATTGCAGTCTTGTCCGAAGAAGCTAGGCTAGACCAAAATGACAGTATTATCATATACAATATAGACCTCTTGTCCCGTGTCCGTTTGCGATCATAATGGTAATTAAAGTAGAGAAGATGTATGATTTGTTATTAGATATGGGAAAAAATAGGTGCTCCAGATGTAATTCATATAATACTCTTATGCAAGATTTCTTACGAAATGATAAGGCAACTAAAGTGGTTAAATTGCTTCAGAAAATAATGGACAATGTTGTAATTTCTCCTCACTCAAATCAAGCAAACATCAACCAAAACACACAATCAACACAAACCAAAACAGATTCAACACACAGTATTTACCGTGGTTCACTTGTTCGATATTGAACAAGCTAAGTCCACGTTCAGCTCCAGAATATAGATGCTCGCTGCACTTACTATTACAATCAAGAATGGTTACAACCTTCAAACTCTCTTCCCTTTACAAGATTTCAATCAAGATCAAAACTGGCTTTAGAATAACAAAGATAAACCTACAATCTGTACTAAGAACTCTACACCAGGTTCCCACCCCACTAAGAAACATGACTCAATGGACAGATTATCAGCATATTTACACACACAGAAAGCCCTAATCTTGAACCCTAATCTGGTAACTTTAAGAGGTATCAAACAGAGAGAAAACGCGTCATTTGCGAACTGAAATGACCTCTGCTTTTATAGGTTTGACCCAACTTAAGTCCTCAACCGTCAGATCTGTCCTCAAACCAATGATCAGGATGAAGTCTCGGCTTAAGTCAAAACGATGTCGCATAAGGCTTCACTTATAACAATCTGCACCTTGAAGCCTTATTCTTTCCTTTGACAGTAATCAACAGGTGCAACAAGCAGTTCTCATACTCCTTCTTTGCTCTTTTGAATTCAGTTGATGTGAAGAATGTTCAAGCAGTGCTTGAACTTTATAGTAGTTACAACTTTGGTTCCCATATCAGATGGGTTTTCTTCAGTTGGAATTTTTAGCAGGCTGACAGTTCCCTTTGAAATCTGGTCTCGGACAAAATGATACTTGACATCCATATGCTTCGTCCTCTCATGATATACTGGATTTTTACTTAGATGGATGGCACTTTGACTGTTAGAATACACAATCACAGGGCCATTCATCAAGTTTATCTCTTTCAAAATCCCTTGTAGCCATATTGCCTCCTTGAATGCATCAATTACTGCCACATACTCAGTTTTTGTTGTGGACAGTGCCACTAATGGTTGAAGTTAGGATTTCCAGCTAATGCAATTTCCACCTAAAGTGAAATAGTAAGCTGTGGTGGACTTCCTTGAATCACGATCCCTTGCAAAATTAGAATCCATATACCCTACAAGATCAAGTGCAGGAGTTCTTTTGCAATAATCAAATCCAACATGCATTGTAGTGTTAATGTATCTAAGTAACCATTTTAAGGCAACCCAATGCCCTATTCTTGGATTTGACATAAACCTTCTTAATAAAGATATTGCAAATGAAAGATCAGGCCTAGTACTTATCATTGAATACATCACTGATCCTATGGCACTAGAGTAGGGGATTTTTTCCATTTTAATCCTATCTACATCGATTTTGGGGGATTGCATTTTGCTTAATGTGAAATGACCTGCTAGGGGCAAATTTACAGTTTTAGCATCAGTCAAACCAAACCTAGATATCAGTTTCTATAGATATGGAAATTGATGGAGCTTCAGTCTATTTGCTTTTCTATTCCTATCAATCATCATCCCTAATATCCTTTTTGCAGACCCTAGGTCTGTCATCTCAAATTCAGCATTTAATTTTGCTTTTTAATTCATCTATTTGAGGTTTGGACTTACTAATTAATAACATGTCATCTACGTATAGCAGTAAGTACGTTGGTATGTTATTAAAGTAAGCATAATACAAACAGTTATCATAAGCATTCCTAATGAACCCAATTCCCACTATAAAGGAGTCAAATCTCTTGTACCATTTCCTAGGGGATTGTTTGAGTCCATACAAGGACTTGTGCAATAGGCAGGCATGCTCAGGCAGGTTTCTATCCCTAAACCCCAATGGTTGACTCATATAAATTTTCTCTTCCAATTCACCATGTAAAAACGCAGTTTTAACATCTAACTGTTCCAGTTCTAGGTCATATTGAGTTACTACAGCTA